TTTTTAAAAAAAATTGTAAGTCAAGGGATCATATATGTGTGGCTATATTTCTGGACTTTCTATTCTGTACTATTAACCTATCATTTGCAACAATACTACACTGTCTTAATTACTATAGCTGTATAAGTCTTGGAATCTGGTAATCTAAATCCAAGTTTGTTGTTTGATATTATCTTGATGATTCATTGTGCTGCACACTTAAATTTGGTGCATGTATGTATGTAACAATCCAAGTAAAAAAGTAAATAACAAGAAAGGGGATTACTGTGGGGTGAGGGAGATGAAATATTGAGTCTCTTTCAAACAATCCGTCATTTATCAACAAAGGTGCCTGCATGGCAATAATTTAGGGCTACACTTATACACAGTGTATGCAGTCTCCAATTTTCCCCAGTCCCCACCAATCCCCATTGTTCCCTACCACTGAAGCAGATGGGCCAGCGCCACTTATCATCTTACTCCTGACTCACTTCACTCAATTTATATTGCTGCCTGAACCCTGGTGACAACTGAATTAATGGACTAATTTAGCAGAGCTTGTTGATACAGCTTTGACCATGTGAAGTGTTGTTCCTGATAGTGGTAGAAGGTTAAATTGCTCTAGGTAATTGACAGAAATGGAAAGAAGGCTGAGGGGCTCTTCAGGAACAGTTTCTCATTCTTAGCACTATTGACATTTGTTGTGGGGGATTGTCCTGTGCATTGTAGGATGCTTGGCAACATCCTTGGCCTCCACCCACTAAATGCCAGTAGCATCTCCCAGTTGTGACAACCAAAACTATCTCTAGTCATAGCCAAGTTAGAGGACATTGCCAGACAGTGCAGAAGCAGAATTCCACTCAGTTGAAAACAACTGGCCTAAACCCATAATGGAAACAGTAAGGGTAGAAGAGGTCTGATGTGGGGGTAGACTAACTGGGTAGAAATGGTGACAGGACCCCTAAAGTTCCCACCTCCCTACCTTCCTTCAACCAGCAAAAGCAGAACAATAGATTCTACAAAAAAGCAAAAGGAGGAACACTTTGAGAGAGTGTGAACTATGCAGCATGGAGCCGTAAAGAGGACAGCTGCATCACAAACTCCAAGGGGCATCTTATCATATAAAACACAAGGTGATATCCAATTAAAAAAGTAAATAAATTAAAAAATACAACATGAACAATATCTCCTGGAGCTGTGCAATGTGGTGATTCTGGACATAAACTTATTTAAAAGCTCTCATCTCTTTAAATATACTATGAATTCTGCCCCATTCCATTCCGTCCCATCCTCCATACACACACACACACAAATGCCTCATGTAAATGATATTTTGGGGGAAAATAGATGGCCAATCTATCAAACTAATGCCTAGGAAGCATATCAGAGCCAGAGTGACTAGGATAAAAACATTAGTCCCTCCACCATAACCTCTGCCTCTCAGAACCTCCACAAAGATTGGGATGCAGGCTCCCAGCACACATGGGTTGAAGTTCAAGCCAATTTCATTTGAATTTCAAAGGACCTGCATCGCAATTCTCTGTATCTGTATTTAATTTGCTTTGGTTTCCTTATCCCATTCCTACACATTATCTTTCTTCCCCCTGGCTTTCCTTCAGTCTTGTAGTTTTTGATTAACTCTAACACAGGGATGGAGGCATACACTCTGTTCTGTAGTACTATGCTCAGGATAGAAATGGTCCACTCCAGGTACAAGAATAAGGGTGTATTCTCTGTAGAAAATGTTAAAACACAAAATTGACTAAAAGCTAGTTGGCCTTTATTGTCACCATGAACCCGTAATTCTCAACCTCAACGATAAAACACTCATCCTTCAAAAAAATATTTGTTGGTCTATATTCCAAACAATTACTGTGGCTATTGAGTTTTAAACATATATACACATGTATATTTAATGTCTTCCGCTTATGATGCTAGAGGATTTTCACAGGTGAATCTTGAAATTTTTACAGTTTCTGTGTCAATTCCTTCTTTTTGCCAAATCTACTAAGAGGATTTCAGGGCAAATAAAGGAAAATATATCCAGGTTATAATTTAATAACCAAAGTTAAAGATCCTTTTCCCTCTATGTTTGAAAGAAAAAATGCAATGGGGTAAAAACCACTCGGAGCCTGGAAATACTTTGTTCACACTTCCAGAACACTTCACATTTGAAAAACAGTATGTCAGGTTTCTTTGAAGTTGCAGTTTGCCATGGAGATGCTCTACTTGAAGCATTCTCTCCGGCAGGGTTGGTAACTTTTCAAAAGTGTTAAATAAACTCATAGAGTACTCTTGTTCAAAAGGAATTGGATATTTTAGCTTCATTTCCACACTCTTTATTTCTGCCTTTTGATATACTTCTTGATAAAACCTCTCAGTCATCTCAGGACCCCTGGAATCTCCTCCAAAAAGATAGAGATGAAGATGGAAAGTCTCACATCATTCACTAGGACTCCTGCTTGCCAAGGTTTAGTCACTTGTGTTCGGGGCTTTGGTCCTTTGCCCAAACAAATGCCAGAAGATATATAACAAGTCAAACTAGCAGTTTTGGTCCGTGTTAAAAGACTAGTTTACAATCTTCCAGTAAAACATTTCCTTTCTAGAGAGTAGGAAAAAATTTGGAGAATACAAATCATTCCTTGAATACTCACGAAGCAAGTAATTTCATTGCACTTCTTAATCTTGAAAAGAGCTGTAACCTCAGGGTGGTTTATACCTTTTCATGCAAGGCCCTTCCCATTTGGCCTTGTGCCCTACCTTTGCATCCTCCTCTGCTCCACATTCCATATCCATTTGCTATAATTTGAATGTTTGTCCCCAGCAAAACTCATACTGAACTTAATCCCCAAAGTCTCAGTGTTGCGAGGTGGGGCCTTTAGGAGTTAATTAGGTCATGATGGCTGCCCTCATGAATGAATTAATCCATTCATGAATTAATGAGTTATCATGGGAGTGGGACTTGTGGCTTTATAAGCAGCAGCAGCGGAGAGACCTGAGCTAGCATACTCAGCCCCCTCACCATGTAATATCCCCTCCCCCTGCCATCTTGAGACTCTACAGAGAGTCACCACCAGCAAGAATGCCCTCACCAGATGTAGCCCCTCGATCTTGGCCTTCTCAGCCTCTATAACTGTAAGAAATAAATTTCTTTTCTTTATAAATTATCCAGTTTTGGGGTTTTCTGTTATAAGCAACAGAAAACAAATTAAGACACCATCTAGTCCATCCACAGGAGAATTTCTCTGCAGTTCCAGAATATATCATGCTCTTACCCTATCCCACCTTAGTACATGCAGCTCTCTCTGCCTAGAATATCCTCTTCTTCCTAGTTAATGTCTATCCCTCTTTAAGACTATTCCATGAAGCCTTCCTGAATCCTCATCATCTGGGTTAAATACCCCTCCTGTGTGTTCTCAGAGCAACCTGGCCTTGCGTCTTCTGGTACAAATGGTGCTCACCAAAACTTCTTCCTCCTGAGCTCACAGGTAGACTAAATTTCCCAATCTCCCTTGTGGTTAACTTTTGTCAGATGGCTGAATTCCAGGAAATAAAGAAAAGTGATGTGTGTTACTTCTGTGAAAGGTAATTGTATCTTCTCCACCATCTTGCTTTTCTCAAACCCAAAGCGAGAGGAAACTAAAGGGAAGAAACTCCCCAGCCCTAGAGGACAATGGGCCCACACATGTAAGGCGTCTGGGTCCCTGAACAATCACAAGAAAACAGGCCAACTGTAAACATTCATCTTGGATGGTGAGGTGAATTAAGATTCATTGAACTCCCAAGGTTCTTTGTTACAGCATTTGTCCTACCCTTACACAGCATAGCACCTATCCCACTCTGCACTGCAATTCATTTGTAGGTCTCTGTCCCACTGGACTGTGGGTTGGGGGGAGGAGTTGTGTCTTGTTAGTCTCATTTCCAGCTCCTAAAATAGTGCTCAGTTAAACAGGAGGAACACATTAAATAAATATCGATGGAAAGAGGGTCATGGGAGGGAACAAACTCATGGATAGAAAATGTAACACAGCAAAAACTATGCCCTGGAAACACAATTAGCCTTTGCTCTGAATCAGCTGAGACTGAGTCAGTTTTGCCTTTCTGCACCACAGTTTCTTTGACTATAAAATGAGATTGACTAGGCTGTAGTTCCAACTTTGACGTACATCAGCATCACCCAGAGGGCTTATTAACACACGAATTGCTGGGTCCCACTACCAGAGTTCCTGACTCAGTTGGTGCAGGGGAGGGGTGGCAAGAATTTGCATTTCTAATAAGTCCCTGATGATGCTGATATTGCTGGTCTGGTGACCACACTTTGAGATCCGCTTGCATAGATTATCCCAGATCCCTTTTATCTCTAAAGCAAATGACCCCGGTGATCCACAACAATGCTTAGGAATGGTCAGGGCCTGGTGATCTCCAGCATCCAAGCTTATAGGCCAAATGATAGATGATTCTTCCAGAGTTAGTTTGTCCTTTGGGACTACTAGATTGGAAATATCCTATGTGTGGCCCACCATTTGCATTCATAATATGGAATATATGGGATAAAACCCCTCACCCAATAGGAGAGGTGCCTCCCCAAATTATTCAAATTTTAAAGGTAAGAAACTGTAACAAGGGTGCCAGATTACTTGGTTGAGATTTCAAGTGAACTCTTTCTGATCCTTCCCGATCACCCCAACTCCAGCTAAGGACATCATGATGGGAATATTTTTGAACAAAAAGAACACTAACAAGATAAAGCAAATAACCTGGCCCACTTTGGGCCAAGTTTTCAATTTAGTGGATCTTTAAAATGCACTGTGAATCAGCCATGATATCCCATGACTGTCAAGTGATTACTGTGTGCAGGTATTTAAGAAACTGTCTCAGATCACCAGGAGGTAAAAATAACCAAATCTCAGACTTTGATTTAATTGAAAAACTTCCAACTCCTTTTCCCATCACTTTCATTAGATGCATGAGCCAAATGCAAACCACAATATATTGACACGAAGACTCAATAAAAGCCACACTTAGTTATCATACATTTATTTTTAACATAGCACCCCAGTTTCACATCATGTGTATTTTCCAAAGTTGGAGATCTTTAACTTACTATGTTCTTCACAGACTTTTCAACAAGTGTGAAAAAGAGGCAGTAAGGTTAGCTTGAGTTTACAAGTCACAATCCAAATATAGGATACCTATGTTTAAGGTCAATATACATAATGTTCCCAATGCTTAGCAAATGAATGAGACTCTGGCTGAGTAAAATATTAACACAACTTGTTAGCACATTATCATGAAAAGACAGAAGGCATCAAATATATACTTTGCTGTTATACTTTTTACTGTTCAATGTACTTGTAGTGAAAAAATATACATTTTTACTTTCAGGTTAAAATAGACCATCAGCTCATTATCTCTCTTGGCCAATAGCTATGAAAACTAAAATGGCTCTTCTTGCCTCTGCTCACTTGAACATCTTATTTGTGCTGAGACAAAAAGGATGGCAGTGCTAAAGAAAAGGGTATAACCCAGTTCCCAAGATAGATGCAATGAGGCTCTCAGACAAGGTGACTTTAAACAAAATAACACAACTCAGTTGATCCAGTCTCCACACAATGAGGTTGTTGCATCAATTGTTCCAGCCCCAGGACAGAGCTCCCTGAAACAGCTTTAGGATCTAGCCCTGTTGTTCAACAGAGTGCTTCAGGATGTAACTGGTACCTGAAGGTTTCTTTAATGTAGTTCCCAAATTCCAATTTAAGCCCTTCTAAAGTCTGATGTCTTCTGGTCTTCAGAGTCATAAACCCACTCTCTCTAATCTCTGACAGTCATGACATTAGCTTACAGCAAGACCAGAGTATTCCAAAACATGAAAAAATGAGCATTCCCCAGTTGTTGACAGCAGAGCAAGGCTTTAACTAGAGCATGTCCTGTGTATTGAAATCATGCAATGCCTCCTAGAAAAGGTTCCTTTATCATCATGTGTATTAGCATACATAGAAAATAACAATACAAGCCCTAAAAGCAACTACGTACTTCGGATGTCTTACTCATACTAACAGACTGGCTGCTTTAGGGCATGCATGTAAGGCAGCCTCCAAAAGCCTCTTTTAGGGGAGGGCAGTAGCTCTTCGAATCTGCTTGCATTGTTTTTAAAGTCTGGCCCTCCATGTCTGCTGCTCTCAGGAAATTCACATAATTGGATTCCATTTCTCCTTACAAACAAGTGAAGCGGGGTGGCTAACAGAGTAATACCCACCTTCAAATTGCCATCAATGACTAATCTATCAGTGCTGGTGGTTATCTCGCTTAGCTTATGCTGAAGGAGGAGCAAGATATGTGAGCTGAGGACTCCAAAACCACAAATTCCCACTTCTTACTAGGAAGTTGAACGATACTGAGTTATGACACAAAACAAAACATAACAAAACGCCCATAATAAAGTATAAATTCAACTGATCCTTTGAAAGCAGAGTTTAAAAGAATACACTTGAAACAGTAAAGCAGTTAAAAAGAAAAACCAAAGTTACTAATGTTCTCTTTAAACAGAGCGGGAAAAGACCTCTTAACTATTATTTCATTTTATTCACATTCAGAATGTTCAAACCGCAACCTAAATAGCCCTACTTGTCAATAATATGGGAAGATCTAGTTGCTAGTATATATTATACTCTTTTCTTTTTATTTTTTAAAACCACATTCCCTTGGTGATATCTAGTGAGAAGGTGTGATTCTAGTTTGTGTTGAACAAATGTTTTTAGCTCTAAGGTGTTATACTGTAATTGAGATCTTTTCAACTACTGCTTAAAGAAAACATTAGCAAATGCCTGCCTTAATTGCAAAAAACACATAAATTCCAATATTACCTTATTGATCTTCTGAGTACATATCTATTATTACCATGGCTGTGAAATCATTTCAGAAACAGACAAATGTCATTTAGAAACAGACTACAGAATCAAATCACAACTAAAGAGAAGAATGCTCTATGATAGTTCAGATGGTGGTAGGAAATCAAAGGCAAATTCACATTTTTTATTACTCACCCTAAAATATGCTGAAATTGAACATTTGTGACCCAAGTAACTAAAATATATTGAAGAAAACTATAACTTAACTACATATTGAGCTCATTTCAATCACAGTAGTCTATTTTAAAACAAAACTCCCATAAGGAATATAGGAATGGAATCCACTGAAAGCAACAGCTATCAAAATCTCTGCCAAGAAACTCAGAGTAACTTATTGCATCATAAAAGGTGAGGTGTTCAGAAAAACAAATAGTTCAATCATATTCTTTTCTTTTAGACTTTGTCACTTCAATCCAAGAGAAATTTCTAGAACTAAACTCCCTAAAAGATGTTTTCAAATTTAAAGACTAATTAAGTCAAGGAAATTCAACATGATAAACAGAAAAAAAAAAACCTTTTAATCTATTTTAGTATTGATCAAGCTTAGAGAGTCTAACTCAAAAACAGAAATTCAGACTGGCATCCCAAATCTGCCACTAGTTACCTCTTTCTATGGATTTTTGGGGCCAGGAACTGTTGTTTCTTAGGACTTTGGTTTCCCCACATGTAAAATGTAAGTGATGGGTACCAGTACTGCCTGCCCAGCTCTGACATGCTATTCTCCAGTGACAGTAAGATGGGCACAGCTTCCAGCTAAGCTGCCTCCTCTCTCAATCATGCCCAAGCACTTGCTTAATATTTGTAAAGCATTAGATCCTTCCAATTAAGGTAAATATCTGCCTCAATTACAATATACACATTATTCCAGATATCTACTTTTGGGCTTGCTTTGATGTCTGCTGGATAAGAAAGTGGCAAAAGCATTATGCAACATACAAGATGCCAAGGGACCCAATAAGCTGGCTGTCAGCTACTACTGTGCTTTCACCTGTGGGACTATAGGATCCCAATGGGGGAAGACCACTTAACAGCAAGGTAATTCAACCCCTATAGATGGGGGCAACACTGACCTTCTGCCTATAGAATTCTCCCCAACAGGCAGGTCTAATTTTGGAGTCGTTTTATAGAAGAGGTATAACGGTGATTTCAGTAACTCAGCCACCCTATAAATCACATTAAAGGCTCACAGAAATATTATCAGGCATTATAATCCTAAATTAAAAGTGCACATCCTAAGAAAATATAGAAAGAGAGGATAAGCACTACTTAGGTAATAACAGCAGTGCGTCATTACTTGTGCCTTACACACACACACTTAACTGTTTTTTTAAAACTCCACTTGTAAGTAACTAATAAACTCTGGTTACAATTAAGTCCACCCAAGAAGGTTGGTATAAATATTATTAATGTGTGCTTGCCTATCTTAAAATATTGATGAGGTTATGAAACTCGGGGGAATCTGATTGTCCAATGCAAGTTTTTTTCCGTTAATGGAAACCAAGCCAAGCAAACAAACCCCAATCTCCTAATTTGGCTCACTGTGGCACTGACTTCATGGAGGGAGGGGAAAAGCATGTCCATATTTTTTTAATGAATAGTGCTGATTAACATTCCTTAGTTTATACATCTGCTAATGGAAATGAAGTGCTATCCCAACTGAGAGCATATGTACTGGAAGATTACAAGATAAAGTACACATGCTAGTCTTTCCCGGATTGAATTTACCAAAAGCCAAACATGCTGTGAAATGCCTGCAGTAAGAACACTGCTGATAGCCAGGCAGAGTGGCTCATGCCCATAATCCCAGCACTTTGGGAGGCTAAGGCGGGCAGATTACTTGGGGTCAGGAGTTTGAGACCAGCTGGCCAACCTGGTGAAACCCCGCCTCTACTAAAAATACAAAAATTAGCTGGGTATGGTGGTGGGCACCTTGTAATCCCAGCTACTTGGGAGGCTTGAGGCATGAGAATTGCTTGAACCCAGGAGGGAGAGGTTGTGGTGAGCTGAGATTGTGCCACCAGACTCCTGCCCGGGCAACAAAGCAAGTCTCTGTCTTAAAAAAATAAAAATAAAAAAACTGCTGATAAATTTGTTGTAGTCCCCTAGATCTCAGAACATGGAAAAAGCAGTTGCCTAAAACTTTGCACTGACCCATTCATAATCTTAGAGAGAGTTTAAACTTATTCCCAACCCTTCCCCTCCCCAAAAAAAAACAAAAAAGGCAGCAAATGGGGAGAAAAAAGGGAATAGAGAAATAGTCCAATATTCATGATTTTCAAATCAAATCAATTCAAAATCCTTAAATATGCATGGAATAGATTCAACAATTTGTTTTTCTGTGGAAAAACATCATCTGTTTGAGCCTTTCTCCTCTGCCATTAAGCTATTGATAAAGCTTGCCAATGGACGAAGGAAACATTAATAAATGCCTACTTGTTCTAAAAGCTCTCAGCTCTATTGAAATCAAAGGCTGAATCCTACATATTGTAAACCTATCCAAAACGGCCTTCAAAGACCCTGTACACACACCCCCACCCTGATACCCTAAGAATGGGGAAATTAGTAAAATGCACAAGAGACAGCATTTCTTGTCATTAGTCTCTCTGGTGTTAATGCTGACGTGCCCTGTGAGGGTCAGTGGCCCTGTGACTCTGTGGTCCCATTTTCACCTGGGCTTTCAGGAGAAGCAGTAGGTACTTAAAATTTCTGTAGAATACTGGCTTCTGCAATTTGAGCTTACTGTCTTACATCACCTACACTGAAGTTAATTGGGCTCCTCTGAATCTGATATAAACCAATCACTTCCCAAGAGTATACTTACAGAGAACAAAACAGTCATATATCAACCATGAGGACCACTTTCTTTCATTATCTCTTCATACCCAATACATTTGCAATCCAGGTTAAAAGAAAAATTAAAATAACTACTAGAGATTGTGGTAACAACCACTTCCCCTTCTTCCCCAGTTTGGATACCTGGGTTCAAACAACAAACGTTTATCAAGACCTAACAGTCTCATCAGCCTTCATATTTGATGGGTGGTTTCCAAACTCATGCACTTACAGATATATTATCCCATGCAGGATAAAAGTAGAGATCTGGCAACTATTTATTTAATTTGATCAGGCGAAGCAGTCAAAGCAAACTTCTCTTGCCCAAAATTTACATAAAAGGACTGAGTTGTCTGGCTTGATGGTCTAGCTTGGCCAAGTTAAATAGCTCATTGCCAAAACTTCCACTTTACAGAGGTGTAAGACCCAATAAGTCTTTGACATTCAAGAGGAAACAATAGTCATATATTATTATAGCTAGATATAATATCAAAATGGCACTAGAGAAGCCATTTTGGCATATAGTGGTGGAGGGGCACAGCGCCAGTCTAAATCTGATGCTCTTATTTTATTTTAGCTTTTGTTTTTGTTATCGTCACACCAACGACTATCTAGTTGGAATCCCAATTATTCAGGAAACCAACCTACTGTATGTGATATACACACAAAAAGCATCCTGAAAGTACCTGAAGATACTTGGTTACAAGGTTTTATGCAAATCATAAATTCTTTAAATAAATAATGCTCTCAGTTATTTTTATTTGCTAGAAAACTGATTTTTGGTAAGGAGCAGCATCTAACACCTTGAAGAAGTACTTAAGAATAGGAGACAAATTCCACTCATAATTACCATTTCAAGTGTGATAATCAGTTGAAGTATTTTTTCCACCACAGTAAAACATACAAGTGAAGTGCAAGAGAAAAGGTCATATGGATTATATTTTGCTGCTCATAGCTTTTGACACAGTCAAACATCTATGGACAATGTAGTTGGGTTCAAAACATTTGAAAGAAAGATCTTGGCAGACAAGGTCACCCACTGTCACTTGAACCATGGGGCGGGGTCACAACACAGTGACTGGACGAAGTTGTTCCAATTGGTTTTCCAATGCAATTCGTTCTTGATGAACCTCCTGAGTTGTACAAACAGAAGAAAAACAAAAAAGCAAAGGGGTCATTTCTTGAATCATTCCTACTTCATCAGATATTAAAAGGAAACGTATAGCTGGACCCACAAACACAAGTGCTGTATAACTCAAGAACAGGAGGACTGGGCGGTACCAGATTTCATGCTGGTGACCAGACAAAGGGGCTTCACAATTTGTAATTTCTCAACTCCTTTCTAAAGACAATGAAATGTAACTGACCTACTCTCCTCTACCACCCTGCCCTAGTTTTAGCCTGTTTAACAGGATCAGTAGCCGGTGGAGAGTGTCATTAAAAATTAAAAGACTAGGAGAGTGCAAAGAGCAAAAAGCAAAAACAGACTCACAATACTGAGTGGTGAGCAAACAGGACTTAAATTTCTAGTTGCAATCTCGGGTTTGTCAACCAGCACCATACTCAGTCAGGTCTGAGGGCCAAAAAGGTACACTAGTTGCCCCTCCACCAAAGTCTCATCCAGGTTTCTGCACAACACATGGCATAAGGTACAACATCTGGGTGAAAGGCAGAAAAGAGGCCGAGCAATCTGCTGTTTGGGAATTCAAACTTTCAGGCATAAAACGGATTTTTTGGCAAGAAGAAAGGGAACACATAAAGGTACTCAAGTAGAACCAGTCAAAGTGGGAAGGAATTCCATATAAAGGCTGAATTGTGAGATTCAGAAGCACCAGTATGCTAATAATCAGTATACAACTTCACAAGTGTTTATTCACATGCTCTCCTAGCCACCCAGCCAGAAGTCTTTTGGTTCTATCTCCTATAGGTGAGGTACTGCTCTAGCTGTGATGGTATCAGCAAAGAACATGCCAGATCAGAGTAACAGGCCTTACATTCAATGGCTTGAGAAATATAATAAAGTTAATGAATAAGATACTTCCAGAAGGAAATAAATAAGATGGCATCAGAGAGAGTAATACAATGGGATCTGGGAGAAAGGAGAAGAGTGGCCTGGGAAAGCTTTTCAGAGTTAGCACTACTTGAGCAAAGACTTGAATGAAATGAGGAGCGAGCCATATAAAGATATGGGGGGAAGGATATTTCACAGAGACCAAATGGCAACTGCAAAGGCCCTGAGGGGCAAGTGAGTTTGGTGAGTTTGATGAACAAGAAGTCTGTATGACCCAGAGTAGAGGGAACAAGGAAAACATTGGCAGGAAATTAAGTCAGAGATTTAGGCAAGGAACCAGATCATATAGGGCCTTGTGGGCAGAGGAGGAGTATGGAAGAGTCAGGGGGGATGGCATTGAGAGTTTCTAATCAATGAAGGAAGATGACCCAACTTACAATTCAAAATTTTCACTCTGGCTACTGTGTAGACAGATTATAGGAGGGTGAGACTGGAAGCAGGTGAGCAACTGAGAGGTTACTGCATGGACCCAGGTGAGAAATGAAAATGGCTTCCATCAGGATAGAAGCCATAAAGATGAAGAGAAGTGGATGAATTCTAGATAAATCTTGAATCTAGAACTAGTAGGACTTGCTGATGAAGTTGATGTAGGAGAGAAGGAAAATCTGGGAATGACTCCTGGGATTTTTGTATGAAGAAAGTAGCTGGCTAGTAGTGATATTGAGAACAAGAAGATTACATGAGAAATTGATATTTCAAGGAGAGGATTGGAATTAATTATCTGAGATGTATATTAGATATCTAAGAAGAAACATTAAGAGCTATATATGCAAGTCTAGAGCTCAGAGGAAAAGAGAAGTAGGGCTTGAAGACATAAATTAAGCTTCACTAGTTTAGGATGGTCTTCAAAGCCAATATAACATCATCTAGCAAAACAGTATAGATAGAGGTTTCAGGTAAAGATGGGAAAATGACCAGATAAAGATGGAAGAGTGACCAGAGGTACCATACTCTCTCCCTCCTGGAGCACCACTAAAACAATACAGTAACTTTCAAAGTCACGAACCCACAAGACAGGGAAACAAAAGGGACAAGATGATAGCAATAAAATTTGAAAGCTGAGTGGCAAACTGGTGAATGGTAAATGACTTAGGAAATCCAGGAAAATAAATGTGGGGATTCTGCCAGCTGCTGAGTATGTCTATTCCAAGCATGAGTTCCAGAGTTAGGGAAATAACCACAGGGTGGGTTTGGGAGTCCACTGGGTCCACTGTGAGAGGAACGTAAGCTAAAACTCCATCGATCACCTGATCTCCCTAAGCCCTAACTCTGACCGATGGACCACAGTGACATTTTGCATCTCCTGGAATTAGTGTCAGCTCAGAGCCAGTATCTAGTAATTCTCCAAAGTCTAATTATTTCCCTTCCTCTAATGCACAGTCACACTGGTAAATGGCATCAGGGTCCCCTTGGGAAAGGCTAGGAGAAAGATTTACAATATAATTTTTGGCTGCACGGTGGGGCCCTTCCTTAAGGAGACATAGATGACCCTTCATCATCTAAGAGGTTCTGGACCTGTAAACTGGCTTAATCTGGAAATTAATTGAGGGGCTATGACTATAGTTCTGTTTCAATTATTCTTCAGAATCTGTTCACTAGACTTAGAACTTTTCCACTCATACAATCAAGTAAAGAAAGTTGAGTCCCAAGCTAACATGAAGAAAAATAAGAACCAATTTAATTTTACATAGGAGAATTCCTGAAAGACTCAAACTGGCAACACTAGATATTTGTGAAAGTGGGAGTGCACAAGGGGAGATGGGGGCTGGCTAAAATAAGTGTTGGTTGAAAATCTGTTCAGAACCAATTAGATCCCCAGATCATTCCTGCCACCAGGGCCGACTGCTGAAGGTTATTTCTTGAAACGGTGCAATAGAAAGCATCTGGATTAGCAAGAAACAGTCACAGTTGAGGACAAGATACTGGGCTGGAAATAGGAAGATGTGAATGAATATCCTGGAATGCTGAGACCTACAGCCCTCTTGCTCCACTGAACCAGCTCTTTCCCTCTCTGCAGGTGACCAAAACAGTCTCCGCTCTGGAGACTCCAACCAGACCAAGAGTAAAGAACTAATCATACTCCCTTTTGATGGTTCTACAACTATATAGCCGAGCCAAATTGCCAGATAGTGAAGCTCAAAGTTGACAAGCCTCACAATGTGCAATCAAATTCCAATCCGTGTTTTCATCTTCCTTTTAAATATGAGCAAGAAGAGCCATCAGATATTAAAGAAAAGCAGTCTAAGATAAGGCAAATATAATACAACACAACACACACACACACCACACACACACACACAAACTATTCAGAAAGAAGAAAAATGACCATGAAAAAAGATCACAACATGATACAAGAATAAGATATCATAAAAATAAATAATCAGAGAAGAAAAAATAATTATTGGCTATTAAACAACAGAATATTTAGATTATATGATTAAGTTTCCAGAAGAGACAAAAAGAAAAAAGAAAAGGTAGGAAGAAAGAGAAAAGAAAGAAAACAGAAGAGAAAATATGAGAAAATAGAGAACTGATCTAAGAATTCCAATGTCTGAATATCAGTAAGGGAGAATGAGAAAAAATGGAGGTGAGGGCAAGGGGGAGGAAATAATCAGCACAAGAAAAATAAAAATAAAAAACCCTCCAGAACTCGGGAATATGGTTTCCAAATTAAAAGAACTCACCAAATGTAGAGAACAATGGATGAAACTGGCCTACTCCAAGCAGAGGGAGAGAGGAGAAAAACCAAAACCAAACAAAATGCAAAATAAAACAAAAACAAGTTCACATACAAAGTTTCATAAAACAGAATGAACTCTGACATTTAAAAATAATCTTATTTTTTAAATTATCATAGGATAAAACAGGTTTTTTCTTTTAGTGTACAGATTTGTATAGCTACCACCACAAACAAGATATGTTACAGTTCTACTAAACCCAAAAGTTCCCTGGGACTACTCATATAAACTCTCATCTCATGTATGACCCCTGACAGCCACTGATTTGTTTTCCATCACTATAGTTTTACCTTTTCAAGAATGTCAAATAAAAGGAACCATACAGTACACAACCTTTTCATACTGGCTTGTCTCACTCTGAATAATGTCTGAGTTTCATCCAAGTTGTGTATCACTTATTTTCTCCATTGAGTACTATTCCCTTGTATGAAAGTACCCCAATTTATTCATTCATCTTTTGAAGGACATTTGTGTTGTTTTCAGGTTTTGGCTATCATGAATAAAACTGCTAAAAACATTCATATATAGATTTTTGAGTGAACATAAATTTTCATCTCACTAAGGCAGAGAGACTTCTGAGTCACACGGTTAGTGTATGTATAACTTCATAGGAAACTGCTGAATGACTTTTCAGAGTGGTAGTACCATTCTGCATTCCCACCACCAATAAATGAGAGTTCCAACTGGCAGCACTTGGTGTGTCACATTTTTTTGTTTTAGCAATTCTAATATGTGTATAGTGGTATGTAATTGTGGTTTAAATTTGCATTTCCCAAATGGCTAATGATGTTGAATATCTTCTCATGTAATTATTTGCCATCCTTATATATTCTTTAGTGAAGTGTCTGTTCAAGTTCCTTGCCCATTTTTAAATTGAGATGTTTTGGTTTTGAGAGTTCTTATTATTTAGTTTAAGAGTTCTTTATATAATTGAGATATAAGTTTTTTAACAAATATGTGGTTTGCAAACACTTTCTCCCAGTCAGCAGCTTTTCTCTTAGTTTTCTTAATGATCCTTGGCAGAATAAAAGGTTTTAATTTGGACAAAGTCAAATTTTTTTAGTTTTCTCTGTTATGGATTGTGCTTTTAATGTTATTTCTAACTCCAGATCATGAAGATTTTCCACCTATGTGTTCTTCTAAAAAAGGTTAAAGCTTTATGTTTTACATTTACATCTATGACTCATTTCAAGTTAATCTCTGTATAGATGTGAGGCTTAGATCAAGGTTCCATTTTTAAATGAAAATGACAAATTGTTATAAAACAATCTGTTGAAAACTATTCTTTCTCACTGAATTGATTTTGCACCTTTGTCAAAGATCAAATGGCTGTTTTCATGTGGTCTATTTCAGGACTCTGTATCCTATTCCATTGATCTGTGTATCAACATCTTGATTGCTGGAGCTTGAGAGTAAAGTGATTCCTCCAACTTTGTTCTTCCTTTTCAAATTTGTTTAAGCAATTCCAGCTCCTTGGCCCTCACATATAAGTTTTGGGATTAGCTTGTCTACACTCAAAAAAATCCTGCTGGGATGTTTATTGGTTTTGTAATAAATCTATAGATGACTTTGGAATAAAATAACATTTGAAAAGATATTTCATAAAGTAAGATATATGAAAGGTAAATAATCACAAAGAAAAGTGGTCAACATAATTAGTCAGCAAGGAGATGATGATAAAAACTATATCACCACAGGGCTGGCTAAAATTAAAAAGAATCATAACAACAAATGTTGGCAAAGATGTGGAACAACTGGAACTCTCATACATTAGTGATAGGAGTACAAATTGCTACAACCACTTTGGAAAACAGTCTAGCAGTTTCTCAGAAACTAACCATATACACTTACCATGTTACCTACTAATCCCAATCCTAGGTATTTATCCAAGAGAAATGAGAACATATTTTCATACAGATACTTATTTAAAATGCAGTTTTATTTGAAATTGCCAAAAACTGGAAACAGCTCAGGTGTCTGTCAATATAATTGATAAACAAATTGTGACATATTCACTCAATGGAATACTACTCAGGAATAAAAAGTATCAAATTACTGATACACACAGTAATATAAATGAATCTCAAAACATAATACTAAGTGAAAGAAGCTTTACGTGCAAGTATAGGTTATAAGACACCACTTATATAAAGTTATAGAACAGGCAAAACTATGATATAAAAATTACAATAGTGATTGCCTTTGTGTGAGTAGGGCAGGAATTGACTAGGAAAAAGCATGAAGGACCTTCCTGAGATGATGGCAATATTATCTATCTTTATAGGGGTTTCAGTTCCGTAAGTACATGTACTTGTTACAAACTCAACAAAGGTACAAAGGTACACAAGATTTGTGCATGCATTTTGTATAAACATTTTACATCATAAGAAAAAACTGTAAAAAAATATTGAACTAGCTAATAATACACTAAACTATTTAGGGAAAGTATACAGACATCTGCAATTTTCTTGAAAATATGTCAAAAATAAGAGGAACTGATGGATACAAGGATAAAAGGGTAGATGTGTGACAAAAACAAGTGTAGTAAAATGTTACTGGTAGAACCAATGTGATATCTATAAAAGCAGTCACTTATGATTCTTTCAACTTTCCTGTAGGTTTGAAAATGTACATACTAAAATAGTGGGGCAAATGGGATTGGGGTATAAAAGTGAAGTCAGGAAAGGAAGGGATAGTAGAGAATGAAAAGGGGAAGCACCAGTGAAGCAGAAGGAAAACCAGGAGAGTACAGTATCTCAAAAACCAGTTAGTGAAGCAATTTCAGAGGAGGAAATGATCAATTGTTCAGAATTCTTCTGAAAATTTTAATAGTATTAAAATAGCCCCATTGGATTTAGCCATAAGATGGGTGTGAGTGGAGGAGAGCAAAGCCAACTGAAGTGAAAGAAAGAAAACCACTGGTTTGAAAGTAAAGATAGTGAATAAAAACCACTCCCAAGAAACTTTGCTGTGAAGGGGGCCAAAGAAATTGGGCAGTAATTGGTCAAGTGTAATGGACAATACTGGAGCATATTTATGTGTAGATGGCGAATGATCCAGTAGAGAACTGCGGGATATAGCGGGTAGATGCATGTCCCCTCAAAAGATATATTCAAGTCCTAACCCCCCAGTACCTGGTCACATTTGTGACCTTACATGCAAATAGGTTCTTTGTAGATGTAATCAAGTTAAGGTGAGGTCATGCTAGATTAGGGTGGGTCCTAAGCCAATGATTGGTGTCCTTATGATAAGAGGATACAATAAGAAGAGAAATTTAGACACAGACACAGAGAGATACAGGAAGAAGGCCATGTGACAACAGAGGCACAAACTGGAGTGATGCAGCTGCAAGCCAAGGAACGCCCAGGACTGCCAGCAACACCAGAAGCTGGGAAGAGGCAAGAAAAAACTCTCTTCTAGAGCCTTCGAAGAGAGCATGGCTCTGCCAATGCCTTGATTTCAGAGTTCCAGCCTCTAGAGCTGTGAGACAAGTGTTTGGTTATCTTAAGCCACCACATTTGTAGTATTTTGTTGTAACAGCCCTAGGAAACAAATATACGGGAGAGTAATGATGAAGAGAAACTGGGGTGATGTCCTTGAGAAGGTGAAATGGAACCATTTGCAAGTTACCAGGGGAGAGGCTGGCCTTTGATAGTACTAGGGCCACTTTCTTCTACTGAAATAAGAATTTATGTTGAGGATGTAAATAACTAAGGGCTTACCCAGAAGCTCTGGACAATAAAGAATGCTTCAAACGGCCTTCATAATAGATTCTCTTTCCTTTTAACTCCTATACAATATGAAGCCTACATATTAAAGTCACTAGTCTTCCTCTAACCATGCATGAACCAACCCATGAAACTTAAATACAGTAATTCTCCACTTTCCTAAAAGGGTTTGAGAACAAAGAAGCAAGTCTTGTCAACAGGGATGAACTAAATGGTCAGCAAATGGTCACATCAGATCACTGTACATGATAGGTATGGAGACATCACGATATACCCACCCCATAAATATATACAATTATTATATGTCTACTAAATAAAATAACACCTTTTTAAACTACAAATATGTTTAATAGAATTCAAGTCATACAAAGTATATTCTCTGATCACAATGGAATTGAATTAGAAATCAGCAACAGAAAGATCTCCGCAAAATCCCCAAGTATTTGAAAACTAAGCAATACACTTCTAAATACCCCATGTGCCAAAGAATAAATGAAAGGGAACTTAGGAAGTATTTAGAACTAAATGAACACGAAAACACAACATTCAAAAATTGTAGAATGCAACTAAAGTTGAACTTAGGAAGAAATTTATAACACTGAACATTCATATTTGAAAAAAGAAAGTCTTCAATCATTGACATGAGAGCTCTCATCTGAAGAAACTTGAAAAGGAAAGCCAAATGAAACCTAAAGTAGAAGAAAGGAAATATAAAAAATCAGAGTAAGCCAGACATGATGGTATATGTCCATCATCCTAGCTACTTGGGAGGCTGAGACAGAAAGAGCACTTGAGCTCAGGAGTTTGAAGTTGCTGTGAGCTATGACTAAATATCACCTTTTTTAAAAGCCGGAGAAAAGCCTGATCATTCAAATCTGGGACTCATTCCTTACCTTGAGCTGCTGCTGGAGCTCACTGTTCAGCCGAGCCAGCACTGCGTTTGCCTCTTTATTTTTGCGGATAGCAGTTTGAATGGCCTTCTTCTGTTTGGAAGACTGCCTATAGAAAAGCACAAACACTTCAGTGAAAAAGGACTTAGAAGTCTGGACCCTTGAAGGTCAGAACTCTGATCCATGAGAGGTGTTAAAGTAACACGTGGTTAACAACACAGGGCTCCAAAAAATAAAATCTCATATTCACAGGTGGCCAGGCAGATCGACACCAAATGAAACAAATTTGTTGGGATGAATTATTTACACCTGAAGTAATTCCCATTTTATAACTTGAATAAAAGCTGTGAAGTGGGTCTTTTCAAACATTCATGTTCCATTATTCCAAGACATTTTAATAAGTATTTCTTCCTGACAAACCATATTAATTGGAATGCCCTTTTCGTGTAAGAATTAATAGCACCTAAAAGACCTGCAGGTGTCCTCTGTGGATAAGTCTGAAGGAAAAGAAGAATATTCTTTTTAGCAAAAATTCTACATTAACTCAGCCAGACTACCTACCTCTACCTTATTTGTTATTAGGCATGAATGCCTAAGTACATGTGTGTGTGTGCATGCATGTGCACTCGTGTGTATGTGCATGGACCAGCATATATCTGTGGCACTTGAGAAAAACACAGAATGTTTTAATACCAGTATTCCCCAATTAACAGCAAATTCACAGAACAGGCATAACCAGAGTGACCATGCATCCTACTGTGCCCATTACAGTCTCCATTTAAACTATCTGTCCAGCATAAGTACTATTAGCACCCTCTTTACCTTTCAAAACCATCCATGGTTGGGATGATAAATCAGTGTGTTTGCCACAGGGATAATCTATAATCTTTCATCCCACAGCAAGAAACACTGAATTCTTAGAGCAAAAGAGCAACTGACGTTCTCCTAGAAAAACAGCCATATGTGCCACCACTGGGAGATGGGTTCTAGGCCAAAGCAACTGAACTAGGATGGACTGTGACCACTGTACAGATCTGATTAATACTGAGAATTGCCTGGGTGCAGTGGCTCAGGCCTGTAATCCCAGCACCTTGACAGGTAAAGGCAGGATGATCACTTGAGGCCAAGAGTTTGAGACCAGACTGGGCAACAGAGTAAGACTCCATCACTATAAAAAATAAAATGAAATTGGCTGAGCATGGTGGTTCATGCCTGTAGTTCCAGCTACTCAGGAGGCTGAGGGTGACAGGATCACTTGAGCCCAGGAATTCGAGGCTGCAATGAGCCATGATCATGCTACTGGACTTCAGCCTTGGTGACAGAGTGAGACTTTGTCTCTAAAAAATAAAAAAATAGAAAATGAAAAGACAACCCAAAGAATGAGAGAAAATATTTATGAAGATGGCTCAATTTTATCATATATCTGACAAGGGAGTTGTATTAAGAATAAATAAAGAACTTATAACTCAAAAATAGATTAATAATCAAATTAAAAGTGGACAAAGGATATGAATAGATATTTCTCCAAGAAGATAAACAAATGGCCAATAGGCACAGGAAAAGATGCTCAATGTCATTAAACATGAAAGAAATGCAAATCAAGGGTGGGATCGATCCAAGATGGCCAAATAGGAAGAGCTCTGGAGTGCAGTTCCCAGCCAGCAGAACACAGAGGGTGCATAATCACCACATTTCCAAATGAGTTTTTACTGCCCACAGACCAGGAGATTGCTGGGCGGAAAAGTGCCACGAGTTTCCAGCATGGCTGTTTCAGCCAGCGCTGTGGGTCTCTGCACAAAAACTCACACAAATCCAGGCAGCCGTTCCAACAGGCACCTGAAATGCCTGGGATACAGAGCCACCCACTCAACTAAAGAAAAAGGGGGCTGAAACAGGGAGCCAGGTGATCTGGCTCAGCTGGTCCCGCCCCCAACAAAGATCAGCAATCTGAAATGCTCTGGATTGAGAGTTTCGCAAGAAGCACAGCTGGACCCAGGACAGTCCAGCTCAGTGGGGAGAAGGGCGTCAGCCATTACCAAGGCAGTCCACCATTACCAAGGCAGTCCGCCATTACTGAGGCAATCCACCTTCACCAAGGCAGTCCACCATTACTGAAGCAGTGCGCCATTACCGAGGCAGTCCGCCATTACTGAGGCAGACCACCATTACTGAGGTAGTTCTAACAGTAAGTTCACACAGCAGCTGGGCAGAGCCCACAGCAGTTCAGTAACACCTCTGCTGGCAGACTATAGCAAGACTACCACCTTGCTGGGCAGGGCATCTCTGAAAAAAGGCAGCAGCATGTCAGGAACTTATAAATAAAGCCCCACCTTCCCAGGATAGAGCATCTGGGGAAAAAGGTGTTTATGAGTTCCGCTGCAGCAGACTTAAAGGTACCTGCCCAGAAGCTATGAATGGAACAATGGAGCTCTCAGCTCAGCACTTGAGCTCCTATAAGGGACAGACTGTCTCCTCAAGCAGCTCCCTGACCCCTGTATATCCAAAGAGACACCTCATAAAGGAGATCTCAGGCTGAAATCTGGTGGGTACCCTTCTGGGATGAAGATAACAGAAGAAGAAACTGGGAGTAACCCTTACTGTCCTTCAGCTCCCGTGGGTGATACCCAGGCAAGCAGGGTCTGGAGTGGACCTCCAGAAGACCTACAGCAGAGGGGCCTGACAGTTAGAAGGAAAACTAAAAAACAGAAATAACTTCAACATCAACAAAAAGGATGTCCACTCAGAGACCCCATTCAAAAGTCACCAACAACAAAGACCACAGGTAGATAAATCCAAAAAAATGGGAAGAAACCAGTGCAAAAAGGATGAAAACACCAAAAACCAGAACGCCTCTCCTCCTCCAAGGGATTATAACTCCACACCAGCAAGGGAACAAGGCTGGATGGAGAATGAGTCTGATGAATTGACAGAAACAGGCTTCAGAAGGTGGGTAATAACAAACTTCTCTGAGTGAAAAGAACATGTTGTAACCCAATACAAAGAAACTAAGAACCTTGAAAAAATGTTAAACGAAGTGCTAATGAGAAAAAAACAGCTTAGAGAAGAATATAAATTACCTGATAAAGCTGAAAAACACAAGAGAACTTCATGAAGCACACACAAGTTTCAATAGCCGAATCGACCAAGCAGAAGAAAGGATATCAGAGACTGAAGATCATCTCAATGAAATAAAACGAGAAGATTAGATTAAAAAGAGTAAAAGAAATGAACAAAGCCTCCAATAAATATGGGATTATGTGAAAAGACCTAATCTATGTTTGATAGGTGTACCTGAATGTGATGGAGAGAATGAATCCAAGCTGGAAAACACTCTTCAGGATATTATCCAGGAGAACTTCCCCAACCTACCAAGGCAGGCCAATATTCAAGTTCAAGAAATACAGAGAATACCATAAAGATATTTTTCAAGCAGAGGAACCCCAAGGCACATAATCATCAGATTCATCAGGGTTGAAATGAAGGAAAAAATGCTAAGGGTAGCAAGAGAGAAGGGTCGAGCTACCCACAAAGGGAAGCCAATCAGACCCACAGCGGATCTCTTGGCAGAAAACCTACAAGCCAGAAGAGAGTGGGAGCCAATATTCAACATCCTTAAAGAAAAGAACTTTCAACCTAGAATTTCATATCCAGCCAAACTAAGCTTCATAAGCAAAGGAAGATAAAATCCTTTACAAACAAGCAATTGTGGAAACATTTTGTCACCACCAGGCCTGCCTTACAAGAGCTCCTACAGGAAGCACTAAACATAGAAAGGAACAACCAGTACCAGCCACTCCAAAAATGTACCAAATGGTAAAGAGCATCGAAACAATGAAGAATCTGCATCAACTAACAGGCAAAACAACCAGCTAGCATCAAAATGGAACCATCAAATTCACACATAACAATATTAACCTTAAATGTAAATGGGCTAAATGCCCCAATCAAAAGACACAGACTGGCAAATGGATAAAAGTCAAAACCCATCAGTGTGCTGTATTCACAAAACCCATCACAAATACAAGAACACACATAGGCTCAAAATAAGGGATGGAGGAAGATTTACCAAGCAAATGGAGAGCAAAAAAAAGCAGGAGTTGCAATCCTGGTCTCTAATAAAATAGACTTTAAGCCAACAAAGATCAAAAGAGACAAAGAAGGGCATTAAAGGTAAAAGGTAAAGTAAAGGTAAAAGGAACAATGCAACAAGAAGAGGTAACAATCCTAAATATATATGCACACAATACGGGAGCACCCAGATACACAAAGCAAGTTCTTAATGACCTACAAAGAGACTTAGACTCCCACACAATAATAGTAGGAGACTTTAACACTCCACTGTCAATATTAGACAGATCAATGAGACAGAAAATTAACAAGGATATCCAGGACCTGTTTCAGATCAGGACCAAGAAAACATAATAGACATCTACAGAACTCTCCACCCAAAATCCACAGAATATACATTCTTCTGAGGACCACATTGCACCTATTCTAACACTGACCGCATAATTGGAAGTAAATCACTCCTCAGCAAATGCAAAAGAATGGAAATCATAAAAAACAGTCTCTCAGATCACAGTGCAATCAAATTAGAATTCAGGATTAAGAAACTAATTCAGAAGCACACAACTTCATGGAAACTGAACAACTGGCTCTTGAATGTTGACTGGATAAACAATGAAATGAAGGCAGAAATAAAGATGTTCCTAAAAACCAACGAGAATGAAGACACAACATACCAGAATCTCTGGGACACATTTAAAGCAGTGTCTAGAGGGAAATTTATAGCAATAAAGGCCCACATCAGAAGCAAGGAAAGATCTAAAATCAACACCCTATCATCAAAATTGAAAGAGCTAGAGGAGCAGGATCAAGAAAACTCGAAAGCTAGCAGAAGACAAGAAATAACTAAGATCAGAACAGAACTGAAGGAGATAGAGACACAATAAACCCTACAAAAAATCAATAAATACAGGAGCTAGTTTTTGAAAAGATCAACAAAATAGACCACTAGCCAGGTTAATAAAAAAGAAAAGAGAGAAGAATCAAAGAGATGCAATAAAAAATGACTAAGAGGACATCACCACAGATTCCACAGAAATACAAACTACCTTTAGAGATTACTACAAACAACTCCATGCACATAAACCAGGAAACCTGGAAGAAATGGATAAATTCCTGGACACTTGCATCCTACCAAGCCTAAACCAGGAAGAAGTTGAAACCCTGAATAGATCAATAACAAGGGCTGAAGTTGAGGCAGCAATTAATAGCCTACCAACCAAAAAAAGCCCAGGCCCAGATGGGTTCACAGCCGAATTCTACCAGCCATACAAAGAGGAGCTAGTACCACTCCTTCTGAAACTATTCCAAACAACACAGAAAGAGGGAATTCCTCCCAAATCATTTTATGAGACCAACATCATCCTGATACCAAAACCTGGTAGAGACTCAACAAAAAAAGAAAACTTCAGGTCAATATCCACGATGAACATAGATGTGAAAATCTTCAATAAAATACTGGCACTGATTGCAACAGCGCATCAAAAAACTTATCCACCATGATCAAGTAGGATTCATCCTGGGGATGCAAGTCTGGTTCAACATACCCAAGTTTATAAACATAATCCACCACATAAACAGAACCAAAGACAAAAACCACATGATCATCTCAATAGATGCAGAGGAAGCCTTCAACAAAATTCAATAGCACTTTATGCTAAAAACTCTCAACAAACTAGGTATAGACAGAACATATCTCAAAGTAATAAAAGCTATTTATGACAAACCCACAGCCAATAACATATGGAATGGCAAAAACTGGAAGCATTCCCTTTGAAATCTGGCACTAGACAAGGACGCCCTCTCTCACCACTCCTATTCAATATAGTATTGGAAGTTACTCTAGCCAGAGCAATCAGGCAAGAAAAAGAAATAAAGGGTATTCAATTAGGAAAAGAGGAAGTCAAATTGTCTCTATTTGCAGATGACATGATTGTGCATTTGGAAGACCCCAACATGTCAGCCCAAAATCTCCTTAAACTGATAAGTAACTTGAGCAAATTCTCAGGATACAAAATCAGTGTGCAGAAATCACAAGCATTTCTATATACCAATAAAAGACTAAAAGAGAACCAAATCAAGAATGAACTCATATTCACAGTTGCAACAAAGAGAATAAAATATATAGGAATACAACTAACAAAGGATGTAAAGGACCTTTTCAAGGAGAATTACGAACCACTGCTCAAGGAAATAAGAGAGGACACAAACATATGGAAAAACATTCCATGCTCATGGTCAGGAAGAATCAATATTGTGAAAATGGCCATACTGCCCAAAGTAATTTATAGATTCAATGCTATCCCCATCAAGCTACCTATGACCCTCTTCACAGAACTGGAAAAAATCACCTTAAACTTCATACAGAACCAAAAGAGAGCCCACATAGCCAAGACAATTCTAAGCAAAAAGAACAAACTTGGAGGCATCACCCTACCTGACTTCAAACTATACTACAAGGCTACAGTAATCAAAACAGCTTGGTACCAGTACCAAAACAGAGATATAGACCAATGGAATGGAACAGAGGCCTCAGAGGCAACACCACACATCTACAACCATCTGATCTTTGACAAACCTGACAAAAACAAGCAATGGGGAAAGGATTCCCTGTTTAATAAATGGTATTGGGATAACTGACTAGACCCCTTCCTGACACCTTACACTAAAATTAACTCTAGATGGATTAAAGAGTTAAACATAAGACCTAACACCATAAAAACTCTAGAAGAAAACCTAGGCAAAACCATTCAGGACATAGACATAGGCAAGGACTTCAGGACTAAAACACCAAAAGCAATGGCAACAAAAGCCAAAATAGACAAATGGGACCTAATTAAACTCCGGAGTTTCTGCACAGCAAAAGAAACAATCATTAGAGTAAACTGGCAACCAATAGAATGGGAAAAATTTTTTGCAAGCTACACATCTGACAAAGGGCTAATATCCAGAATCTACAAAGAACTAAAACAGATTTACAAGAAAAAAACAACCCCATTCAAAAATGGGCAAAGGACATGAAGAGACGCTTTTCAAAAGAAGACATAGATGATGCCAACAAACATATGAAAAAATGCTCATCATCACTGGTCATTAGAGAAATGCAAATCAAAACCACATTGAGATATCATCTCACACCAGTTCGAATGGCAATCATTAAAAAATCTGGAGACAACAGATGCTGGAGAGGATGTGGAGAAATAGGAACACTTTTACACTGTTGGTGGGAGTGTAAATTAGTTCAACCATTGTGGAAGACAGTGTGGCGATTCCTCAAGGACCTAGAAACAGATATTCCATTTGACCCAGCAATCCCATTACTGGGTATATATCCGAAGGATTATAAATCGTTCTATTATAAAGAGACATGCACACGTATGTTCATTGTGGCACTGTTTACAATAGCAAAGACCTGGAACCAACCCAAATGCCCATCGATGATAGATTGGACAGGGAAAATGTGGCACATATACACCATGGAATACTATGCAGCCATAAAAAACGATGAATTTGTGTCCTTTGCAGAAACATGGATGAATCTGGAAACCAACATTCTCAGCAAACTGACACAAGAACAGAAAATCAAACAGTGTGCTCTCACTCATAGGCGGGTATTGAACAATGAGAATGCATGGACACAGGGAGGAGAGCATCACACCCTGGGGTCTGTTGGGGGGAACAAGGGGAGGGACAGTGTAGGGTAGGGAGGTCAGGGAGGGATAACATGGGAGAAATGCCAGATATAGTAACAAGGGATGGAGGCAGCAAACTACATTGCCATGTACATACATTTACATACATACATACCTATGCAACAATTCCACATGATCTGCACATGTACCCCAGAATCTAAAGTACAATAATTAATACATATATATATATTGAAATGCAAATCAAAACCATAATGAGGTAACAGTTCACACTCTTTAGGATGGCTGTAATTTTTTTAAAAAAAAAAGGTAAGTGTTGACAAAATGGAGAAATTGGAATGCTCATACATTGCCAATGGGAACATGAAATGGTGCAGCCACTATGAAAAAGTTTGGCAGTTCTTTGAAATATTAAAGATAGAGTTACTACATGACTTAGCAATTCCACTCCTAGGTACAAGAGAAATGAAAATGTAAGTCCACACAAAAACATGTACACAAATAGTATAGTGGCATTACTCTTAAGAGCCAAAAAATGGAGATAACCAAAATGTCCATGAACTGATGAATCAATGAATCGAATGTGGTCTATCCATACAATGGAATAGTATTCAGCCATAAAAAGATAAGTCCAGATTTATGCTATAACTTCAATGAACCTTGAAACCATTATGCTAAGTGAAAGAAGCCAGTCACAGAAGACCACATTTCATGATTCCATTTTTGTGAAATGACGAGAATACGCAAAGCCATGAAGATAGTAGATTCACGGTTATCAGGGGCTAAGGGGAAAGGAGAAAAAGGGGAGTGATTGCCAATAGGCATGGATATTCTTTTAGGATGACAAAAATTAGATCATGGTGATGGTTGCATAACTTTGGGATAAACTAAGAACCACTGAATTGTGTATTTAAAAACACGAGCTGTGTGCTATGTGAATTATATTGCAATAAAGCTGTTATAAAAAAGAGAAAAAGAAAAGATTTCTGTATGAACTCCACCAGAAGACCTGACATCTACTCTGGAGAATGTTAAGTCACCACTGACTGAATTAAATTAACATGAAGCTGAAATTAAAGTGGAGTGCCGGTGTAGAACATGGAAGAAAATTGAGCCATCTTTGTCTCTGATATGAATTCACCTCCACCCCAGCCCCCAGGCTTAATGGGGGCTGGAAGATGGTCAAAGCTCTCAGTGAATGTGATGAACAAAATATACTTCCTTTATGGACTGATACCACCAGGACCTGTCCGTGTGGGAAAAAAAAATCATCTGAAGGAAAGAAAGAGCTGCAGAGATTCAAAATGGGACTTTGGCTTCAAAGGCAAGTGGCTAACATCACCCACAGAACCTGCTGCTTTTCATTCTACAATAGTGTAAGCAGAAGAAAATCTACAGCAGCATCTGAGACCTGCAAGAGCCCAAAAGCAGGGTCATGATGGCTCTTGAGTATTTATTTTAGTGACTGGCCAGGCTCACTTGTGGTCAAGTGACAGGAGCAGGTTTCTGTCCTCAACACCTTCCTCAATTTCACTACAAAGAAACTGAAGCAAGTGATGGCTCTTCTCAAAGCCAAAGTTTTACAGAGAAGGACAGTTTGCCCAGAGCATCAATGTCTCAGTCCCTGGCCATTTCCACAGGTGTCTCCACCCTCCCTCCAATATCTGTTCCAGCTGGTTAGATAAATATAATGGAGGTTCTGCATGTATCCATTCTGGGCTGAGATGACCAACAACAGAAACTCTTTGCGGAGATTTAAAAAGAATCACATACCACACCTACTGAAAGTGTGTCTGTGGGTGAAGAAGCTAGCCATTTGCCCTGGAGGAACAGGAGATAACACAGGCAGAGAGGCAAAATTGCCATTTACAATACTATCTTCTTGCCAGGAAAATCTGGGCCAGCACAAGAAAGAGGGGTAGGAAACAACAGAAGGTGAGAGGAAGGGAAAGAAATCAAATCAAACCAAACCAAAACACCACAGCCTAGGACTCACCTGCCCCTTTATGTCAGGTTAAGTCCTATAGCTTATAAAGCCTTCTATGTGACTGGGAGACTTGAATCCCATCACAGAGATGAACAAGATAAAACTTACAACCATGAAATCCTTGTATTGATGTGCATGTAAATGTCAACACATTTACACATCCATATACATCTCCAAGCAAGATTCTGACCTCGCTCTTGTTTACATAGTCTACTTACTTTTGGACTGTTGGATGTGGTTTCACGGTTGCTGCAGAAGCTGGCCCACTTGCAACAGTGGAAGGTTCTTGGTTTTCTGTAGCTTGATTTTCTGGTCTGAATTTCCTACGAATGGGTTTTGATGGTGGCTGAGAATACAGTACATCCTGTGGATTTAAAACAAAATAAAATTTTAAAGTTAAACATTTAAATGTTCCCTCCACTCTTCCTGCCAGTGTCCCACATTCCTTTAGCCCCAACCCCAAGATCAGGAGGGTGCTCTATCTATTGACCCATAGCTTCGCAAGAACTTGGGGGACACAGGCATCAAAGTCCAATGGTCTTCCCTCTTTTCTTTTTCTTTTTAAATGTTTCAAAAAGTCTATTACTTCTTGTCACCTGAAACTCACACAGACCCTGGGAGCATCTCACACCATGGGGCCTCTTCTAACTGAAGACAAGATTGGCTCCTGCCTCACTTTGGAGCCTTTTAAAACCTAAGCTTTGGAAGTTTTTAAAAGTCTTAGTCACATGCTCATCATTCTCCTACCCCCAATTCCTACATAAAGTCAAGAAAAGGAGCCACAGTGTATTCTGGAAGGACACAGTTGTTCCACTTCCTTGGAGGACTCTGCCTCACCTGTGCTCCTGAGCCCATGGCCCACTTTCTCTGAAGGTAGAAGAGCCTGGGAGAAGGACAAGAAGAGGGTGAGGAGATGAATGGAAAGCGTGATGAATGATGGGTACTTACTGAGCAAATGACAGGTGTCCCAGCAGCATGGCTGGGCAGATGCCAGGTGAAAATGCCAAGATGAAAGAGGAAACCATGGTACAAAGACCAAGAAGGAGAGCTACTCCACCCCAAGAGGTGCTCATAGAGGCTTGCTTAGCAGGTAGATGGGGTTTTGCTAAATACATGTGTCCCTCCCCACAGCCCTTTATGATCTTGCCAAAAACAGGGCCACCATGTTTAGCTGAAGAGTTAAAAAGGTGAGTATGCACTGTCATATACAAAATGACATCAAGGGTCAAGCCCAGGAATCTTCAGGACCCCAATCTTCACAAAGAACCACATTCTAGGAAATCTGGATCACTGACATTCATTTCAGGACATGGAAACCTTCAAACAATAGATCTGCCAATAGAGATAAGAAGCCCAGGGGTGGGAATCACAACACCATCTGATAGCATCCTGAGGCTCACCTTACCTTCTTTGAGGGACTACTTTCTGCAGCTTGGGATGGGGCTCTGCTCAGCTGTGGGAGTAACTCGGCCTCCGACACTTGTTCAGACTGTAGCAAGAGATCAGAGACAGGACAGAAATGCAAAAACACAATCACCTAAATATGTAACAAAGAGCACTTAGGAAGATAATCACCAAGGGAAAACTGATTTAGACCACCTTGCAGCCAAGAATGCTTATGTCTGCTGATCCTTGGGAAAAACTTCCCATAGATGATGCTATACCCTCCCATCCCTCCTTCCCAGATTGTTCAAACTTAGGAAAAGGCATCATGGGAATTTCTTCTGTAATTGAACATGTGTATGGCTAAAAAGCTAATGCTTTGCAACAACAAACTCTAAAAATAACAAGGCTTATCAGAAAAACAGGGTTAGAAAAAAATGATTTTAATTTGAGCACCAACAAAAACAATCATCATAATTTAAAACACTGTGATTTTTTAAAATGTTAATAAAGGAATACTCTATGAACAGTATGAAGAAGAGGTGAGAACTATCGCCCAGGCTAACCAAAGCCCATGCGCTGCTGCATCCCCAGATCCAGCACCTACATTCCACTGTAGTTGCCACCACCATGCCCGAGAGAAAAGCTGAAGGGGACACTAAAGCAGATAAAGCCAAAGTGAGGATGAACCACAGAGAAAATCTGCAAGGTTGTCTGCCAAACCTACTCCTCCAAAGCCCAAGCCTAAAGAAGCCCCTGCAAAGAAGGGAGAGAAGCTAAAGGGGAAAAAGGGAAAAAGCCCACACTGGCAAGGAGGGGAATAACCACACAGAAAATGCAGAAGCCAAAACAGAACAGGCACAGAAAGTTAAAGGCACTGGGGATGCCAAGGGAAGCATGTGCATTTTTTATAACTGCGTACTTCTGGTAACTGTGCAATCTGAAGTACTCATTTTTTATTAGGTTTTATAAAAATGCAGAATTGTGGCCAGGTGCAGTGGCTGAAGCCTGTAATCCCAGCACTTTGGGAGGCCGAGGCAGGTGGATCACGAGGTCAAGAGATCGAGACCATCCTGGTCAACATGGTGAAACCCCGTCTCTACTAAAAACACAGAAAATTAGCTGGGCATGGTGGTGCGTGCCTGTAATCCCAGCTACTCAGGAGGCTGAGGCAGGAGAATTGCCTGAACCCAGGCGGAGGTTGAGGTGAGCCGAGATTGCGCCCTTGCACTCCAGCCTGGGTAACAAGACCTAAACTCCGTCTCAAAAAAAAAAAAAAAAACGCAGAATGGCTTTTATTTTTTCCTTTAAGCCATGTTGTTAGCACACTGAACACGTCATTGTTGTTTTATGGAGAAGTGGCATATGTCACTAACAGTATGTATCTGAAGCTGGACTGATGTGGAGGAAACACCTTTCTCTTCTAGTTTTGTAAGACATCTTCTTGGTTCCCAGGAGGAGGGACTGTCTGACATTGACACACACAGTCACCTTGGCACAAAGGCCTTGTGTCATGGAGAAAGAAACTCATCTTAGTGTCCCCCCTCCCTCTGCCTTCAGTATACACTTAACTCCCTCAAACCCTCTCCCTGTTGGGATCTGGCCCCTAATAACCGGTTACCAGTCAGGCTGGCAATCTGGACTTTCCAGTGAGAACCTTTGAAAGACCAATGCTCTGTTTCTAGAATGTGGATCTTCAGATAAATTCTGCCATTTTTGTTTCATTTCCTGAAAGTCAAGGTCAGCTCATGAAAAGTTCTTAAACAGCATATTGAATATGAAATGCCAAGCCTCACTCTGAACTTTTTCTCTTCAGGGCACCAAATGAAGACTTCATTGGGTTTTATTATGGCTTTCTGGTGTTGGAAGTCCATTGAAGGAGGGAGTCTGAAAGTTGTATACTGTTAATGATTGTCACTCGTGTCCTGCCTGAAATACCATGATTGTTTACAAAAAGTATTTTTAATAAAGCTGGATACAGTTTGGGGGAAAAAAACACTTTAGTTAATATGGCCCTTTACCTTAAAAAAGGAAGAGGGACTGTAGTCAAAGGAGTTATTGGAAGGATCAAGGGTGTTGAGTGGGATGGAATCAGTGACTAGACTCACCAAAATTGGCAAGGAATGTCCCCAAAGCTCGTCAAGCCAGATCGGGTGCCAATCAGTGAAGTGGAAGAACAGGGTAACTGGGCCTCATGAGCAGCTCCCTATGTCCCCCATTTCCCCCAGTCTTCTGCCTACAGCTATGTTACAGTAGTTTGCTTTCAGCCACTAGTAGCCAGTGATGCCAAAACATTCATGTGCTAAGGGACCCTACATTTGAACCAACATGACTTCTACATCAAACTGACACCAGTCATCTACTGACCCACAGGTAATCATCATTACAGAAATACACATTGTAGCACAACAAACTGACTTCATGTGCCCACTTTGTCCCTAACCTGGTGTTCTCTAACCTCCTTCAGAGTGTGGCTTCTTCCTCTGACTCCACTGAAATGGCTAGTTCCCAAGGGTGCTAACATACTCCCACTTAGCACATTATGGCTGCCTCTTTTTGTCTTCTCCTCATAGATCTTCTACCCAATATAATGCCTTTGACTATCTTTTTTAAACTCCTGCCCCTGGCATCTGAGAAGCTACAATCTCCTAACTGCAGTAATTCTTTTTCCTGTTTTGACTCTTCTTATCCCTCGAATGTAGTATTTCTCAAGATTCTTTAGTTCTCCACCCATCTTTCCCTCCTTGTTCATTCTCTCTCAGGGTAAACCCATGTGTTACTACATTTTGTCCCAAGCAACACCCTATCTCCTCTAAATCTACTATGCAAGCACTCAACATTCCTGATTTCTAATTCCAACTAGTTCTTATTGCTTTCTCTCTTCCATTAAAGTAACTATACTGTTGTTGTTGTTACGTTGTATGTACTATGATGCATACAACACTTACTATGTGTCATACATTGATCAAAGGGCTTTGCACGGATTATTGCAAATCATCACAGCCCTAGGAAGTAGTAATTATCCCCATCTTATTGGTGAAGAAATTGAAGATCAAGAAGTTAAGGAACTCACCAAAAATCACACAAATAGCAGAGTCTGAATGCAGGCCTTGATTTCTATGCAGCCTAAGGTACTCTCAAGGCCTGGGTGTTACTCATTCAAGATATATTTATTAAGCAGCTACTATAGGCAGGCCCTGTGCTAGCACTGGCACTCAAGGATGACCAAGACACAGACCCTGCTTAAGAGAAGCTTGAAGTCTAGTGGGAGCAACAGGGAAGTGACAAAGCCAACTTGCTTCAGTGGACTGTGGAGGGCAAGTATTAGGACTACAGAAGCATGCAGCCTCATAGGTCTGCAAAGACTCAGGAGCAGTTGATGTCTCAGCTGAGGCCTGGGCTAAAAAAGCAATGTGTGGGGATGGTGAGAAAGACCCAAAAGTAAGCTCACAAAGGGACTTCCATGCTACAACACCCATAATTTCAGCTGGGGCTACCACAAGAATACTGAGGTCAATCCTCAAGATGAGAAACATAGGAGAAGCAGGAGTGAGGGGAACTTGTCTTTAGTCAGATTGAGTTTGAAGTACTTGGGAAACAACTAAGCAAAGCTGTCCAGGAGCCATTCACTGTCAGGAGTCTAGGGAATATAAGCCCTTACCCTACTTTCCCTGGAGGTTCATACAAATGGAGGCATACTCCAAGCTCTATGAGCCAAAAGTTGGCTTTATTAACAGCTAAGAGAGGACCCAGTAACCACTTGAATGCAGGGCCTCCTGTGAACCATGCTGAAGAAGCCAACTTGAACCTGAGGCCCCTTCTTGCTTTTTACCTGGAAATCAATTGCTTGGAAGGTTAATATATGTTCTGGCCCAAGTTCTAGGCATATAGCCTCCTGCAAGGACCACAGGTATGCAGCAATATCTTGCAGCAGGTAAGCAGAGAGAGGATAACAGTTTCAGGCTCTCTGAAACTTTTCAGTTAGTTGGTTCTCCTCCAACACCAGGTGGACGGAGAAGTGTTTGCTCTACCACTCCATTCCCTGATGAGATGAGCAAAGTCTCCTTGTGGAAATACTGAAGGAAATGATAAATGGATGCTTTTTCAACATAATGAGGATTCCAAGCACAGCAAAAGTAACAGAGCATATTTGTTATGGCCTCCTTTTCTCTTAAACATCTCTAAAAACACAAACAATGGGGTAGGGGATGAGGAAGCAGCTGTGAGATGTGTCTTAAAATGTTTTTCATTTGCAAATTTACCTTCCTGAAGTTGTATGCAAAGGCCTGGGTTTTCCAGCTCTATATCTGGTAACACACTACTGCATGGTGTTATGTCAGGGTAAATCTGACCATCCATCCCCTAAATTGATCCATCTATCAAGCGTTCAGAGGAGCAAATCTCAGGAGGGACCTGGGACACAGGTTTCAGGAAGGTCCCTGAATAAAGCACAGCCTTGACCAAGCCAGACATTATCCCAGGAAAAACAATAGGCAAAGATAACCAGCTTTGTGATAAGAAAAACTAAAGATGAGATTGAAGCATGCAAAATACCCTCTTTACAATAAGCTTTCCTTCATAAAAGTAGTGTGAGGCTTATGTTAGGCTTGGCAAGTGGAAAGCAGAATAAGGCAGGGAGGTTTCTTTGCTATTTCTTGAGACTCATCTAAGTTACCAATTTTGGAAGAATGATAATCCAAGAAAACAGGGGGCCTCAGTGGTTCTCTTCCTCCTCAGTGTATTTGGGGTCAGGGGGAACAACTCTGCCACCATGGTAATAGGCCTTGTCCAAAAGTTTTGATTTTCTGAACTGAAATCCAGTGACTGATTCTTGTGGGGAAAAAAACACATATATGGATTATAATTAATATTGCAAATGGCAGTTCTGCCCTCATGGTTCCAAGTGTAACAACACATACCTAGTCAGGATGTCACAAACCAAGAAAATGTACATTTAGCAAAAAGCTCACTGAAATGTGACCTAAAGTTCCTTTTAAAAATATATATCTGAGGAAGATCCAAGATGGCCATATAGGAGCAGCTCAGGAGTGCAGCTCTGAGTGAAAGCGCAGAGGGTGAGTAGATGCCACATTTCCAGATGGACCT